ACCTTCTACTAAAATTACACCAAGTGAGGACTACACAAATTCTTTTGCACTCTGTGGGGAAATACACATTTCAGGACTGTTAAATGACATTATGGCATCCCATTACCACCTACAATTTCTAGTGTGTGTTTTCATTCACTAGAGCAGGGACCATTTTTTCTTCTTGACAAGAAAAAGCCATGGTCACAGCTATCACACTCATGCAGTTTGCAACCTGTAGCAAATACATAAGGGCATCTCACAAGGTCTATACACTGTGGGAAAGAGAAGTGTGTGTGCCTCTGTATTTGGAGACAGGGAGCAAAGTGCTGCTCTGCCTAATCCTTTGCCTGGTTCACTGATCAGAGATGCAGGTACCACCACAGTGCCACTAAGCAGCAGGCTGCAGCCCAGGCTAAGGGGTAAATACACCCTCTCTTTACAGTACACCTCTCTAGCTCAAATCACTTACCTCTGGTAGCTCTGTGGTATGGCCAAACTTGATGAAAAATCAGCAAAATGTCAACAGTCCCTAAGAGACACTGACCTTTGCCACAGAGCAGAGTGAAACAATGACATATTTCTAAAAACTCTGCTGAGAAATTCAACCAGACTGTCAGGTTAAAATTCCATAATAAAAATACAAGCTGAGATTACAAGAACGAACTGAGATCACTCCAAACTTTAATTTACCTTTCTTGAGCCCCCTGGGTTACCATCTCTCAGATTATACAGATTCAGGTTTTGGTTCCCTTGCATCAGGTTAGATGCTACAGAAGACCGAGGGCAGGGGGGGACAACACAACAACAGAAAACTTTGTATGGGAGTAGGTGCCAGAGATCTGGCTAGCTGGGTCTATATACTTGTGGGGCAGGTTCTTTAATTTCTCCATTTCCCCATTATTCAGAGTAATAAAGAGCAACGTTGCTTCTCTCCATTGCAAAGTGTGCAATAGGCTCAGACACTGAAGTAACAAACAGCAGCACCAATACACCTAGAAATGATTAAGCTTTGACTGTTTTACCCCAGCAGGAGGTGGGCTTTATGAGGTTTTCAAAATCAGAGGCCTCTCTAAACAGTTTAGATGGACTCATATACACCTGTGCAGAACTGAAAATTTAGGAAAAGTCTGGTTTACCCACGTGATATATTACATTCTAATACAACTATTGAAGTTGATGGCACTCTCCCTTCTGCCTCCTCTGCAATGAGTTAAGCCCAACTTCCTTTTTGCACATATGGACCGATGCATTTTCCCCTCACAGGATAAGGAGAACACTAAAAACAAAAACACCACTGGATTCATTTTCCATTCCTCCAGGAAAAGAAAGCTGTTCAGCAAAATTCACTTTGCAGGGATGGTGGGAGAATGGCCATCTCGTACCACCATTGTCTCCTATGGAAAGAAAAGTTTCACCTTCCCCAGCTTCGTTCTGGAGAGCGGCTCTGCAGGTCCTACTCCTGTAACCTATCCATGGAGAGAGACTTGCAAGCCTGCATGCAGTTCCACAAGCACCCATGGGATTCCAGAAGTCTGCACAAGACTAATTGCAGGATGGGTCTCAAATCTGAACACAGAAGGGTCTGTCAGCATCACTGATTTCCCCTTCTAATCTCAACAGAAGACTAAGCTAGCATTCAACTTATCTAAGGAGGTGAGCAGGGAAGTAAAAGAACAATAGATTTCTATCCCAAACTTTTTTCTGTAAAAAGATGGACATCAGCATTGCTTTATCATATTCCAGAATTGCCTGATGTTAGCTGATATCAACTGAGTCACAGCAGGCA